TTCTTTAGAAACTTACCCCTTTATTCATATGTAAAATATAGCCGAATGGCAGCCGAACAGATACGCATAAATCAACTCAACAAGAATTAAAATCGCGTATGCGGTACAGGATAATATCATATCGACTGATTTCATCGTCAATTTTGAGACTTGAAGCCCTTTGTTCCCACTTGAATACTCTTCTTTGTCTGCAGAAGTGCATTTCCATTAAGGATGGAGGAAAAGAAAGGAAAACCACCTTGATAATTTTAGCGCACGGCCCGATGAAAGATACCATTTTTAATTCTGTTGATAATTCCATTTGCCCATACAAACATTCCCACCTTTGTCCCACACCTTAGATTTATGAAAAATAATATGTTGACGACTATGCCAACAAATCTAGTAGGAGGAGTAAGGGATCGTCCAAAAGTTACTCGGCTTTATTTTCCTTCGATGAAATACACCATCAAGTGAAGCTGACGAGGAAATTACAAATTTTTCTTGCCTGTGTTAGAAGCTCCTCTTGAAATAAACGGACGACTAAAAATGTCCAAACAAGCACTTTTCGATACGGCTTAGCAATCCAACAAGTAGGATGTCACGCTGTGTTCGCTTTTATGCTTAAACAATGCTGCAAAAAGACTGCGCGAATGTAGTAATGGCTTCTCGATCGTAAATGGCTGCTGTGATCGTGCGATTGTTTGGTTCTTACTTTTTATTGATTTATTTCAACCAAAAAAATTCATTCATTAGCCCGAAAAATTCTCCATTTGCGCCACAATGCCAAACAAAGTGATAATCTTCGGAGGTAATTGAAGTAATTAGAAGCCTCGGACAAAGAGAAGATACAAGAATAGATTGGAGACCTAATACGATTCGAACATCAATCCTTAGGATCCTTGACTGAGAACAGAGTACAAGCAGTCTGCGCACTGTAGGGATCATCAATTTTGAAATAGAAAATGCAGAAGACATTTTTGATTACGAAAAAATATATATTTTACTGTGTGCATCACACTTGTTGTGAGATACAGTTAGTACCCAGAAACTTTTGATTTTCTATTAAAAATTTTAACAAATGAAAAGTTTTACATTGGTAATAAAATATGTGCTTGTTGTTCATTGTGGTGTAAGATAGGAGATGAACTTTGTTCGTTTGTCTCACGATTGAGTCACTTACATGTAGATCGCGAGGTTTCGACTGCAATACTGCTAGTCTTGCGAGAACATTACGGAGACATACAGTTTGCTCGTACTCAGACTTCTGCGGTTTCGGAGCACGCTAACGAAACGGGGTATATTCCTATTTGGAGCTAGGTTAAGTTTATTGATCGTGAACCCCACTGGCACACACGTAGGGTCAAAGAGGCTATCCATATAAGACTTCATCCCTACAACATCAATAGGGATAGTGGTATCGACATTCCCGAAGCTTGGAAACCCACGATCAAACAACACAACAGCCAATTTATGAAGACTAATGAGGTAACACCATTTAACAACCGGAATAATAACGAGGAACGAAATGCACCAATAGCAGCGTACCAACGTGCTACAAAAAGCGTCACGTGAACAATCAATCTCATCGCCTGATGAAGACTAGTAGTATTGCAGTCGAAACGTCGCGATCTACATCATAATTGACTCTATCGTGAGACAAACGAACAAAGTTCATCTCTCAAGAATTGGTATTGTCATTTTAATTGTTTAGCAGTTGTAATTAAGACATCAAACACATTTTTATATGATTGTTCATCAGGTGGCTGGAGGATCTCATCGATCGCATGTCTCGTCAAGTCCGCATAAAACTGAAGTCGGCAAAAATGTCTCATCAGGAAACAGAGGCAAAAATCAAGAGATTGTTAAGTCGCATGGAGGAGCTGCAGAATTCTCAGAAACGTAAATTTGATGAACTTAGCGAGCATCAGTCGAAAATATTTGAAGACATCCTCGAGAAGCTGGCTTTGCACTTTAATTCGGAGGAAACTATCTCGAGTTTCTGCAAGTGGTCTAAAGATGAAGTACCGAAACCCCTTGGGACATGGCAGGATACAAAGAATGAGGTGTTAAATTACATCTCAGAGAAAACACACCAATTTGTCCAGCGATGGGAAAACGAAGAGAACGAATTCGACAAAGCTCGAGTGTCATTGATCCAACATTGTTGCAAAAAGTATGATATAATGGAGGAAGAAATGCGCGAAGTAGCAGAAGATTTTTTTATCGTCGACGAGGCGGAGGGCGACCTTCCACAGGACGAGGGTGGAGAAAATTTGAAACGATCTAGAGTAAGAGGAAGATTACAAACAAGTACTATTCCGCCATGGCTTCGGCAAGGATTGGCATCAGTGGCGATAGGGTCTCCACTTAGCATGCTCGGAATCGAAATTAAAAAGAAGATCTATTGCAATACCAAACTGGTCAACTTTTGCAACGATCCGTGTGGCTACATGAAAAAGCGATCACAGAAATGTCTCAAAGCTATTTCTACTCGAGACCGCTTGCTTCCGTTCATCAACGAACAACTGGAAGACGCCGTACTGTACCTAGGACAGATCAAGAAGAAGATTCCAAAGCTGAGAGAAGGTGACGAGCTGATCTATCAACAGCTACTTGAAGACAAGAGAGGCAATACTGAGATTCGGAGGATCTACGAGCCTTTAAACAACGAGCTGGAGTCTCTGAGACGGGATATAGCCGTCTACACTCTGCGAGAGATCAGGCAGTCGGATTTCGCAAGAGAAGAGTTGGAATGCGATTTTAGAAAGCATTCCATTGGACGAGGCAGCTTCTCGACAGTGTTTAAAGGCGTTCTTCATCGCAAAGGATCACCAGAGATTAAGGTGGCTATCAAGATGTACATTGACCCGCTTACCAGTAATAACGTGTGGCATTTTGTAGACGAGGAACGTGCTTTAAGGTAAGAGGATCAAAATACCATTTTTTCTCATACAGTTGTGTTCATTTGACAGATCAACTGTCATGTGTGGTGTCCTGTACCAGATTTTGCATAATGTCTGGAGCCGGAAATGTTATAGCTTGCTACACATGCAATTGAGAAACGATTGTGTACCTGCTGCCCATAAGTTTAATAGCAAATGAGCCTCTTATCTTTGTCTTAGAAAACTGCGCCATCCAAACATTGTGGGTTTTTATGGAACCAATTTGCACCAAAGCCCCAATGGCACTGAAGTGATGATCGTCCTCGAGCTTTGCAGTTGCTCTCTCAGAGTACTTACCCATCCAGAGGATTCACCCGCTCGATCGTTGAACGACACGGTCAAGAAGAAAGTCTTATCCTGGGTACGACATATCCTACAGGCCTTGCATTATATCCACTCAGAAGGATTTGTTCACCGAGATTTAAAGCTGGAAAATGTGCTGGTAAATGTGTACTGAGTTGAACTTTGATTTCCCAGTTAAGGTGTCAGTTACCTGTTTTTACCGACATGAAAAGGGCGATTTTCCTTCCTCAGTAGAACATAGCCTTCTTGCCCCCCATCAATTTTTCGAAAATATTCTAGTCTTTAGACGCACTACATGCCGAGCTCTTTACTAATTCAAGAGTGTTTTTTTTGGAGGGGGGGGGGAAGGGGAGGCTTTTGGTTTCTAGTGGCTGGAAATGATGTCTTGGTGATGAAAATTGCATGCTTTTAATTATGGAAATAAGCCACCCGTTTCCCTACTATTTTGCAAGAGATCTCATGCAGAAGGTTGTATGCCATGCAAACAAAATTCATTGGTCGACAATGATTAACATGAAGTCTTTGTCGCGGCACCTGGTGTTTATTACGATGAAACACGATCTTGCAGTCAACGAAAAAAGCACCAACGTGACATTAAGTCATCTATTGTTTCCCTTGTTCATTATGATTCTTTTTGACTGAGTTTAATATTTCATCATAGCTGACACAAGGCGAGCAAGTGAAACTTGCAGATGTAGGAGTAGCTAAACATGAAAAAGAAATAACAGGTACGATGGTCGGCACCTCTCTGTACCTGGCCCCTGAAGTGTGTGAGGGTCGAATTTACAACAGCAAAGCTGACATGTATAGTTTTGGCTTTGTACTTTGGGAAATATGGTATGGTGAGACAGCTTTTAAAACGGCAATGACAACCTGCGAATTGGACCAGCTCGAAAAGGTGAGACAGGGCTGTCGACCTACTCACATCGAAGGCACAAATCATCCATATGAAATATGGCAGCGTGTCATGACTTATTGCTGGAATGAAGATCCACGTGCCAGGCTAACAGCAAGAAAAGCACTGGACCGTTTCAAGGAGTTACAGGAGGCTGAGATTCAACCTAAACAGAAACCAGTACTGTTACCAAGGTCACGTTCGCCACGGCCACTTTCACAAAGCAAAACGCCTCCTCCAACAAAGCCTAAGCCAGCTAGAAGATGAAATAAGCAAGGTGGAGCGTCTGCTTCTTACCACAAAAAAGCAGAGGCGGAGAGTGTTCACTTTGAATTAAAAGAAAAAAAGTAACGTGGAGCGGACTGAAAAGAACAATCGCTTTATATCTTAGTATTCGTTCGACTGTAATTAATTTAGGAGGAGGAGGTCACTGAAATTAGAGATGTAACCAAATTTTACTCAAAGCTCCCAATGAGCTTCAGTGTATACTGATAGTTTTTTTAATAGCAGTTCGTCCACGGTGTAGATTACAAATAGTTCCCAAAGGTATATTTTATTTCTAACTCGGCAACTCTTTCTTGAATCAATTGAAGAGAAGCTATACAATTTTTTTTTCCACTATGACGTTATTTTCCCTTTTTAGGGCATCGGAACAGGCAAAATATCAATGGATTACTCTGTAGATCAGGGCCAAAAATACGGTCAGAGAGCGGAGCAAAAAAGTGGCTTTAGCAAACGATCCAATTGATTTTTCATCCGTATTTTTAGGTTTTTCTACTTGGGGAAATAACTTTTCAGCGCAGCAGATGTTATTTGACTGTGAATTTATGAAACTCATAAGTGAACTGCAAACTATGTGAACTATGTGAACTATATGAACTGTGAAATGCAAAGATCGCTTTCGTATTTACAGATGTTATTGTTAGTCATGGTTTCGTTTGTGCTGTTTCCGCCTTTCACTCATGCCTTCGGGGCTCGGAAAAAATACAACGCAACTCACAAAATATCCGCACGTAAGCATATTTTTAATGATAAAATAAGGTGTATTAATCCAAAGTAAATCAAATTAATCCAACTTGCCACCATGGATCAGTGCAACGTCTTTGACTGTACAAAGAATGAATTATAAACGTGTTATATCTAAGAAATAGTCCGTATACTGCAATACGACTGAAATTAACCGGTGATAGGGCGAAATGGCGTCAAAGCCGATGCAGCAAGGAACCCTTGTAACTAGATTTCCTAAGGAGTCTAGAAATAAAGTTCACAATTCAATTTATCTACTAAAATCTCGGTCTTAAATTTTAGTCACTCGGCTAAGAACAAGAGTATTGAAAGACGAGCCTATTTTAAATAAGCTTTGTTGGTTTGAAGCAGGATTAAATTGTATTATTGAGCGACATTTACCCTTCAACTTTATCATCACATTAAGCAGCTATAGCGAACAATAATTTGCTGAAATCCGGTAATAATACTCTAAAACTAACAATGATGATTTATGTTCATCCGAACAGAAAATCTCTTCTTCCTCCTGCATCCTGCATTGTCAATGATTTCCTATTACTCATGAAGTGATTCAGTTTCTGCTTTAGGAGCAGTCACGGGCGCGGTAAGGCTTCAAAACTACCTACACATATTATGAGTCGACAAAACAGAACGCTTTGAAGTACTCTAAGTTTCCTCATAACTATACTTGATATGAGGTTATGGTTAAAAAAGTAAACCTTACAGAAACATCGCTTCCTGCATCATCAGTATTTTAAAAGGGGCGATAATTGTGATAAGGGTGCTGCCTCTTAAGAGTCAAATTTCTGAGATTATAATCCGGTCGCAAACATCGCTGAGTATAAATGTTCTTGGTGTGGAAGAGAGGGAGAATTTCGCTAGTGACTGTTAATTACTATCTAAACTCGTTGAGTTGGGAAACGAAAATATAAGAGCAATAATTGTGCACTCATAATAATCCTTAAGGGCTTGAGAGCGGAAGTCATTTTATCGTTTTCAAGAACTTAAGCGAAAATATTGCACTGATTGATGACATATGACTATTAAAACCAAAATACTGCGTTAATGTGCCCTTCACTGGTGCTTTCCTCACTTTCCTGTTCTTCCAGCAGCAGTAGAGGAGCGGGTTCAAACCCGAATTTAACTACCTAAGAGATGCTGTATGTCTCAATCGAGAATAAAAGAAAAGCTATTAAGAGAAAAGAGAAGCAAAAGGCCTCCATACGGCATCCGGAAGAAAATATGTTACTTTTGGTCCAGTAGACGACAACAGACATAGACAACTATGCACTACGATAGTTTCGCGAAGGATACGTTTTTACCTTATAGGCCTCACCAGAGAAGTAGAAACA